GAGCTCTACTTCGACCTTCACCGGAGGTGGCCCCTCCCTCCCGGACACAGCGCCTTGCGTGTCATGTGACCGCCAGGTCAGCTGACCCAGGCGGGACAGGAAGAAGAAATTCCTGGCCCCGGACCGCCTGGAGAGATGGTGAGTGATGAGGGACTGATGCCTGGCAGGGGATGCTGGGGGGCAGGTAGGATAGGGTCTCCAAAATTCCCATATTGCTAACGCAGGGGGAAGGGTGAGGCACTGGGTGGCCCCGGGAGCGGGGAGTGGGCGAATCTGCGCTGGTCTTTTAGCAGACACTTTGAGCGTGGTCCTGAGGGAGGGCCGAGGGTCTTGTAGAGAAAAGTTCCCTCCGCACCCCGGCCTTGCTCCCAAGCAAGTCAGGCCGGCCGGCTTGGAGTCCCAGGTGCTCCCTTGGCGGAAAGAACGGGCCCCTGGCTCCAGGAGGACCTCCCAAACGTGCCCACTTCCCCAGTCCACCGGTAGGACTTGGAGAAGAACTTGTTTAGAATTACGCTCAGTCTTCCACACTGTTAGGAAGCCCCTTCACTCTTTCCAGAGCCAGAAAGGAGTAGTTTTTGAGCTGGGACTTCCCAATCCATCCATCCATTCCTTCATTCAACATATATTTTTTGAGTGTCTTCTTTATACCATGAACTAGGACTTCAGCTGCAGGAGGGGAGGGAAAGTTGGAGGCTTGGGTAGGCGTCATAGTTAAGACTGGACAGGAAGGGACCTAACTTGCCTTGTGCCTAGTGTTAGGAAGGCTGCCCTGAGGATGCTATCAGCCTGAGGACTCAGGAAAAAAACTGGCTGGGTAAAGTTGCAGTTTGTGTACCGGGAATTGGGAGATAAGGGCGTGGGGTGCTGCATATTCAGACAGGGAACAGCATGTGCAGAGACTTCAGGTGAGAGAGCGAGGCTCCCTAGGAATGAATGCAGCTCACTGGAAGAGTATAATCGGGAGGTTAGTGAAAGATGAGGGGACGAGTGAACAAAGACCAAGTCTTCCTGGGTCTCGAAAGCCACATATAGAAGTTTAGACTTTAAGCAGAGGGCACTGACAAGCTAAAAAGATGCTTCTGGCTGTCTTGTGGCAGGATCAAGAGGGGAGCAGGGAGTGCAAGCTGGGGCAGCAAATACCAGAAGGTGGTGGTGGTGACCTGAGTTGGGGTGAGGCAGTGCTCCGTGACTGAATGCATGAGGGGAAAAAGGAGAGGGCAGGGCCCAGGCTTGGCTCTCAGGTGGTAGGATGGATGGGGAAGCCAGGAGGAGGAGCAGGTTTCCGTGGGAAGAGTACCATCACTTGAAGACATGCTGAGTGCGTGGTGTCTGTGAGCATCTAGGTGCAGCTGGCCAGGGAACAGTTTGGATTTAAGGGTCTGGAACTCAGAAGAAAATCTGCAACAGCATTGGCGAGTCTGAGAGTCGCCAGCACAAAGATGATAATCGAACCCTAAGAATGTGAAAGGTGTCTCAGTGAAAGTGTGAATTGAGGAGAGAGAGGGCCTCAGACAGAGCCTAGAGAGTGCCAGTATTCTAAGAAATTACACAAGGAACATATTCTTGTGGAAAAAAATGCAAACAATACAGAGGTATATAGAACTCTGTAGGTAGAATTCAGGGGTCCATGAACTTAGGGAAGATCATAAATCTTTATTTTCACTAACTTCAAACTGAAATTTAGTATTATTTCTAGTACAAATACTTTTTAAAAAAAAACCCTAGTATTGGCAGCTATGACTTTGTCACTAATAGAAATCATGGATATTTTCATATCACATTATAGCTCTTGATAGATGTCTCACAGTATTGTTTATGTTCATCATTTCTAAATTACGGTGATTACTAGACTTTCTGCTATATCTTGTTTTCAGTTTAATAAAGAAGCACATATAGTACCATATCACCAGTATGTTTTGAATATTTTGATAACTGTACTTCGATATAATTAGTTTTGCCATCCTATTTATGCATTTAAAAATGTTATTCTGAGAAACGTCTCCGGTTTCACCATATACCAAAGGATTCCATAGCACAAAAAGGTTAAGACCCCTTGAAATAGAATAAGAAGTTCAGGACCATCCTTAACACCCCATCACCTCATCACCAATCCCATTTCCCAACCCCAAAGTAGCCAGAGTCAGCAGCTTGTGGAGAGCCCCATTTGGGGGCTGGGGAAAGGAGGAGGAGCCAGCCAAGGGAGACTTAGGCTAGGCCAGAGAGAGAAACCCAGAAGTGCGTGGTACTTCAAGAAGAAGGATGGGGTCATGTCAGACGCTGCTGAGCAGCTAAGGAAGACCCGGGCTGAGTTTAGTGACAAGAAAGTCATTTTTGACCATGGCTAGAGGACGTCATTGGAGTCCCATGTACAGGTCCCAGTGCAGGGGGTACAGGAGTGATCAGGAGGTGTGGAGCTGTGGCAGGTGAAAGGGGTTGAGGGTTGGAGGTTTCAGGAGAGCAGATCAGGTGTTAAGTGGCTGATCTGGTGACTGGTGGTGCTGGGTAGAGAAGTGGGATTGCCGGGTGTGTTGAGGGTCCAGCAGAATTGTGAGAGCGTGGGTTTGCATGGCCTTAGTTTGTGGGGCTTTTTTCCAGCATCTGTAAGCAACCCAGGTAGAGGTGTGGAAAGAGGGACATACATACTGATGTGCATTGGAGCTTCACCAGGCAGACAGGACAAAGGGCAGTTGGTCAGGGGATGGAGGGTATTGGCAGGAACGTGGTTGACAAAGAGTGGGCTGGGAATCCAGGTTGGCCAGTGAAGGTTGTAGAGAAAGGAGAGTGCTGGGGAGGGCGGGAGGGTGGAGAGTCTCCTGCGAGTAGAGAGCTCGTTGAGTTCGAAGCATTTAGGGGAGAAGCAGCAGCTGTGGGCAGCCTTCACTGCCGACGTCAGGGGTGGAGCAGTTTGGGCTGTGGACAAGACCCTGGGCGTGTCCATGGGAGTGGGTGGCTGGAGGTAAGTTTCCAGGAACTAAGAGGTCAGGAGTTGGGCAGTCGTGTCTGCGGTGGCCAAAGCCAGTGGGTCAGGGAGAGGATTCTGTAAACAGCCTGGCGATGGGGGAACAAGTGGCCAGAAGGTGTCCGCCAGGCACGGGGAAATAGGGGCTGCTGATGAGCAGTCCTGTGGGAGTCACACACAGAGCCTGGCCACACCCCAGCCCTCCCTGCAGCCTGACCACCTGCCCCGCTTCTTTGCAGAGGTTCCGCTTCTGTGGTGATCTGGACTGTCCCGACTGGGTCCTGGCAGAGATCAGCACGCTGGCTAAGATTGTTGAGTGCACGGGCTCTACCTGGTGGGGAGGGATGGGGATTGGGGACTGAGGCTGTGGGGATGGAGGGTGGTGAGGTCACTCTGGGGTTGGGGCCTCAGTGTTCTCAGCCTGTCCTAGTGTGCTGTGTGACCTCGAT